CCCGCCCAAAGAACTGGCTCTTCTGATATCTGCTGCATTTTTCCTCTCCAAATGCCCCCTCCCCACAGCATCCAACCTCTAGCAACAAGATGTCTCTGCAAAGACCGCTGCTTATTCACACTCCAAGAAAGAACTTGCAAGGATGTGTTTGCAAATGCCATTTGCACACATAAAATGCTGTAATATCAGGGAAGCTCACATAAAAACAGGCAACAATACTAGCTGTTTCTTTTGATTAGTTTTGTCTTCAAACAACCGTAAAAGAGGGCAATCAATATACCTTGCCAGGGCATTTTCAATGCTTCCTGAGCCATTATGGTCATAATGTTTCTTCAGGCTGCTATGATCAATACATTTGAGACACTGAACATGTCAAAACCACATAAAATCTTTATTAAGGTGAAATTAAATGAGCAGGCACAAATCAGCAGCTTAAACGGATATTGTCCTTCAAGGACACCAGACTTAAAAACCAGACACACATTAAAAATTCAGGGCATTCAAAGCTAGAATTAAAATCATGAGAAACTCCAACTTTTGATACAGGACGTGGAAAACAGAAATTTAGAAGAGTGGAAATTGTCAAGGCCAGGAAAGTACTAGGGGCAAGAAATTACAAGGGGCAGGAAATTATTAGAGGCTGGAGAAAGGCCAGTGTTGCCCCAGCACACCCTGGGTGCCTGAAGCTGGATGCCCGCGAGAGCTGCCCCGGAGCCGGCCCCAGCGGATGCGTGCCTCGCAGCCGCGGGAGAGACGAGCTTTCCCAGGGGAGGGAATGAAGAGCCTTTTCCCTTCTGCAGTTAATGCAATCTGACAGCTGCTGTCTCTTGCCACCGTATGGCACGGTGCCTGCGGCTGGAGGGTCATGCACACGAGCACACGGGTGAGCTGGGGGAGGAATTCAGAGCTGTGCAAAGAGACCTCCAGGTCAGGGGTGAAGTGCAATGCTGCAGGATGTCTTCCCTGTCCCCCCTCCATAGCAGGAACGGGGCAGGCTTCCAGCAGGTCGGACACCACGCTGGCTGCAGCAGACAGGGACACGCTCCTTCCCGCTACGCTCGGAGATTATCCAGCATTTCTGGGGTTACTTTAGAGTTTGATGCTTCCAAGTGCCTGCAAGGGAGTGGGGGACCATTTGACTCGGGCTTGCAGCACGTGAGTGGCTCTGTGCTGTAGTTCCCAGGGAAGCTGCGCTCTGTAAAGGATTGCAGCGCTGAGATTGGAGGTTGCTGGATTGGGAAGGTAATTAAATCTGAGGCAAAACGAACAGATGCTGGGCTGAGGGGGGAGAGCAGCCTGTCTCCAGACACCCTGCTCTTGGCATGCAGTTTGCTAGTTCTCCTTTGCGGAGATGGATGCTAGGCAGCCTGACCTCCATCAAGCTCCTCCAGCTGAGTGTTCATCGCTTGAAGGCTGTTGCTCAGATGCGGCCTTTCCTCTCACCCTGCAAGAGTGGGGCCTCTGGTTCATTGGCTCCCAGATGCCCAGACAGTGGTGCATGGCTGGAGGTGCTCCAATGCCTGGTGGCTATCACAGCAAGTCAGCCTCCTCTTGGAGCACTGGCTGGCGTTTCCCTGCCTTTAGCTCTCCTGAGCCTTTTGGTGTTGGAGGCAGCAGTTCCTCGGGGGCCCGGAGTGATAAGGCATCCTTGCTGCATCCTTGCTTGCCTCTCTAAGGCCCTGCCCAGGCAGGCGGGCTTGGGACAGGCCACCAAAAAGCCTCCACCCCTAGCAGGTATTCAGGATTTGGGGAAAAGAGCCACAGGGAAGGCAGACCTCATAGTGCACCCCTCAGGGCACTGCCTCTGTGGGGATCAGGGAATACCCAAGGGGATATCAAAGGGCAGGGGTGTAGACAGGGTCCAAGCACTTCTGCTGCAGAGAACCCACCTGACCACAGGGCCATCTTTGTGCTGAGGTGTCCCAGTGGGTACCTTTCTTTTCCCAAATTCTCCTAAGCTCTTCCTGACCCACAACAATATCGGGCCGCTCTAGCACTGTGGTCACATGGAGAAACCAGCTGCAGGACTGCAAGGCGCCGTCGGCTCCCTGCTCGATGGCAGCTGCCCTCCTCTGAGCCTCGCACAGGGGCTGCAGCAGCAGATATCTTACCCTGGCAAAAGGAAACCATTAGAGGACAGCAAGGACATGTGAGAACTGCCAGGACCCAGGGAAAGAATAGCTACAGCTCCCACCCCGCTTCCCTTCCTGGCGTCCTTGGCTGCAGAGCGCCCTGATGTGCAGCTCACTGCGGCAGCAACACACTGGTGCTGCTGCGTGGCACCTGCAGGACCTCCGCAGAGGCCGGGGCTGAGCTCGCTACTCTGTCTTGTGTCCCGGCTGCCTGTCCTAGCAAGGGTAAAATACCTGGTGATTCGGCCTGAGGCTGGGAGAAGGGCGATGTGCAGCAGCTGCCGTGAGGATGTTGGGACGCAAGAAGAACCAGTCCAGGCTCTTCTCGCAGATAGCATCTGGCATGCAGCAGCGCAAGCCCTCTGCTGCCTCTTTATCCAAACACTTGGCAAGCGGACAGGACCTAGATGGATTTGGCTGGACTTGATGCCTCATAAGTAGCTGGAATGGCTCGCTCTGCTCTGTTTATTTGTGAGCTCCCGTTTTTGGGTGAGACTCGTGCAATTCTCCAAATTGGAAGTGGATGGGTTCAGCCCAGCACATCGCCTCTGCCAGGGGAGCGATCTCGGCTCATCTGCTACTGTGCAAGGCTGGGGCAGGCGCTGCCCTTTGGGGAAAGGGCACCAGGGAGGCTTTTTTTTCACTGCTGTGGCTGCACATGGGAGAGGGGCCCCGAAGGCACCACCAACCTCTACCGGCCAAGGCCAATGGCTCACTTACGTCCATGGCTTGCACCCTTCGGATGGAGACAGGCAGCACCAAAGGGGTTTGCGGAGCAGAAGCTGTAGCACAAAGAGGTAAGAGATGGTGGAATCCCCACTAGCTCTTTCAAAAGGCGACGCTGTATGATGCCCTTACGGGCTGTCCACCGGTGGGCTGGGAATTTGCGTTATTTCTCCTACATTTTTGATGTATTTCTTTCGCTTCAGAAGGTGAAAGTGTAGTTTGCCAGGAGGATTTCTCATTGCACAAAGGAGCCGTTTGCCAACACACCTTCCCAGTAGAAAGCTGAAAAATTCTGGTTCCAGCCTATTTATTTTTAATTGTTTCCCTTCTTATTGCCCGCAGCGAAATATCACCTTCCCCTAACAAATAGCCGAGATGGGAACCGGTCACCCTCCGCAGCCAGCCTGGTAATCCCCTCGCTGCCGGAGCCTGCAGAGTTTGCATGCCCATTCCCAGGCCTGCCCCTTCTGTCAAAGCCAATTCCTGCCCCTCTGCAGGCTCATCCCGCCCTCAGCTCCTTCTTCTTCATTAACCAGCCTGGCAGTCCAGCGGGGAAGGTCCCCGCGGTTTCCTGAGCCTGCCTGGGGTTTACAGTACCCCTTCGTGTTGGATCCGAAGCCGTCGATGCCCAGAAGAGTATCTCAGCCCGTGTCCTGAACGGCCTGAGACGCACAAAGCGCAAAACCAGACATCTGCAATCAGCACCAAAGGCACTCACTTGGAGCACCTGCAGGTTTTTCTTTCTTCAGTTCCGGGGATGAGCTGTAAAATAAAGGCTCGAAAATTAATTACCTAAAAGAGTGACAGAATGTTATTAGATACTTGGGAGTTAATAGTACTGATGCTAATCGCATGTAGTTTAATGGCACCGGTAGAGATGTAATATGTAATTCCACAGGCATTCCATAACAATTTAGCAATTTAATTAATTTCTGCTAATACCTTTTAAATCACCTATTCTCTTCCCTCCATGTTCTCTGAGGGAAAGAAAGCAGAAACTTTTTCAATCAGCCACCTAGATCCTGACCTATTGCAAACTCACTTTTGTTGGTAAAGATATTGTTTTATTTCTCAGTGGTTTTATTCACCAGTAGGTTTTATTCCCGGTAGAGAAACCCACGCAAAGTCGTCCCCGGGAAACAGGGTGTCCAAGAGAGTTTGACAGTGATGTGATTGGCTGTTCCTAAATTTGGAAGGCTGGATCGGGGCTGTGTGAAATGTTTTGGACAGATCATGATGGGCTGAAAAGATGGAGACTTAAGTGATTTACGGATTTAGGTCAAATTCAGGAAGCTCAGCCAGAAGAAAATATGGGAGAAAAAAGTAGAAAACAGCAAGCATTTTATTCCAGCCTCCTCAAAGTAAAACGTTAGGTTTAGAAAAAGTAAAACAGTCTCTTTCAGTATGTTTGAAATGATGCTTTTCTGCTTGCCTCCTTTCACAATTTTTTTCATTATTTAAAAAAGAAAATGCAAAAAGGGAAAGGTTTTCAAAGGACCAACTTTCTCCCAGAGACTGAATTACTCTCTTAAGCGATATTTGGGATTGACTCAGAACAACGGCGCCGGCGATCCTCACCAGGTATAGGAGGAGACGAGCGATTTGGGCCACGCATGAGCTGTCCCCCGTGCCATCACCCTCCCTCCCAGGCCCCCGCCGGAGCAAAGACCACAAAAAGCCGTCGTTCTCATTGGGCTTTTATTGTCCGGCTGGCCCTCGCCTCCCGGT